AATAAGAATTAATTACAAGAGAAATTATATCACAAGTTCTTTTAATAAGAATTAATTACAAGAGAAATTATATCACAAGTGCTTAATTTCGTATAATCATTTACATGAGTAATTTTATGGTGGTTTGTAGTCTGAATCATGCACCGCCGCAATTCAAGCATTTAATCCCAACAACAAAAAACAAAACACAGTTCAGAGGAAGAGAGATTTCCAAAATCAAATTGAATTGCATAATCAGAAGGTATTGTAATACTCCATCACTCACAGCGACCAATCAGCTTATGAAAAATACAAATTCAACAAAACAAATTAAACAAAAAGAACAGTCTGTTAGCTGAATCATTATGCATTCCCCATCAAAATTATAATCCAAAATCACACCTCAAAAGAAGAGAACAAAAGTATGACAAAACTTGGATGCAAGTTCTTGTACCCTTTTGATTCTGATCTTCTATCAAAATTGAAGCTTCGCCTTAGCAATCTATATGGATCACAGAAACCCTGATTACACGAATTACCAACATACAAATTGCATCGAAGTTTCGGCTTAAAAAGAAGAATTCAATTTTTTTACTAAGCATCCTACTTTGATAAAAAGAAAATATTGAAATGGAATGTCTAAAAAGTTTTGAAAACATATTTACTATTCCATTCGATACTTATTTACCCAAAAAACATAACACTGTTATTCCCTGAAAAAAAGCACGACTCAACACAGTAAAATACTTATAGCAGTAGTAGTAGCAATTCTAACTGAATCACATTTTCATTTTCGCATACCATTCAACGAGCCAACACAAGCAGAAGCCAGAGTACCAACCTTGAACTTCGACATCTACTGCATCTCCATCACGCCCCACCTTCGCTAAAACCGAAGAAATGACAGAATCAGCAAGCATGGTCAGCAAATAGCCGGCACAAGCCAGCATGAACGCGAAAGGGTACTCTGTGGTAGTCAAATCCCCGAAAGTCTCGTTAGCATCACTGAGAAAATGCATCATGGCAGTTCCCAGAAACACTCCTCCAGCGAACTGGGTCCCCAGAACCAAGAACCCCTCGTTCCATTTCAACACATAGGGAGACACCCCAGACACGAACGTGGCCAAAAAGATCACGATCAGACACCACACCTTCGCCAGGATCAAAGTCCTCGAGTGGAGGTCAACGGGAACCTCGTTGGAGTCGGGTTCACCGTCGCCGCCGTCGTCGTCGTCGTGGCCGCCATGGGCGTATATGAGGGAGAAGAGAAGGGAGAGCGTGAAGAGGAAGAGGAGTGTGCGTGAAGAGGAAGACATTGCTGCAACGTTAGAAGTGAAGGAGAAGAAGAAGAGTAGACAAAATTTATGGAAATGGATGTGAATGTATTAATGGGAAGGGACCGTTGCTTTGTTTTTGATTGGTGGTAAGGTTTAGAAGTTTGTTTTGTACTGCGCCTAAGTGAGAGTGACACAGTTTGTACTACGTTGGACCACTCAAGCCATCATAATGTTTTGCTTCGATCTCAATTCTACTTCTTTCTTATTATGTTTTAAATGTAAATAATAAAAGTAAAAACTCATTATATCACAATTTAATTACAAAATAGTTCTAAATTTACAGTCAAATTACTTCTTAAAATTATATATATTTTAATTACGAAATAATTTAAGAATTATTTTCATTTGATGTCGCAATGTGTTGTTAGTTCCAAGTGAACCGGAGAAGAAAGCGTGTGTACTATAAAATCTGATTCGTACTAAAAGCGGCAACTTATGTCACGGGTCTTAAGTCATTGGAATCTTAATTATATTATTATCTTGCAATGAAAGCACGCGTTTTGATCTATAACTTTGTTTTCTTCTTTAAATTTGACGTAAACGGTCTCTAAGCCTAAATTAATTATCCTTTTGAAACATTATATATTAAAATAAGATTGTATTTATGGACATTTTCTACCTACTCTTGTTATGGTAGATATTAAAATAAAATAGAGAGAATTTTGGTTTCAGATCTATAAAACGTTTCTTCTATATCTGTTTCTCCGTAGACTTCTACGTCGTTTTCTTTGTAGACTTTAACGTTGCTCTCTTACCTTCTTTGGCGTCAGGTTACCGTAGTCTCATTGATATTTTGTAACTGCAGACATCAGATAAATGTTTGGTTTACGTAATCTCAATCATTAATTGACGATTGAGTTGAGAGATATGGTGAGTGAGAGAAGACTTTGATTAAGTCTTCTCTTGATATTTTTACTTTATTTGTTATTTTCTCCTGTTTGGCATTTTTACTATAATTACATGTCTTAATGAAAATATTGAATTTAGTTGTTTTTTTTAATTACTAGTGTATTAAACTATTTTTATTGTTAATATTTGTTATCACTGTTAATACAAAATACATATACTTTTAATATTAAGGCAGGTTTTTTTCTTTGCTCATATATCACACTCCAATACCTCCATGGTTGAATATGACAAACTTTGGAATTTATGTTCATAAATTATCAAACTTTTTTCCGGAAAGGGAAATTCAGGTTTCCCCACTCCGATTTCCTTTATTTGTTTTCTTTTATGTTTTTTATCCATAAAAAGTTGAGTTCTCGCACTTGCACTACTCAATTCTTATTAAGTATTTATCTTTAAAATTTATTTTTACTTAAAAAAATATTTGTCATATTTTACATTATAATACAATCGATAATAAAATTATTTCTTTGTGTTTAATTTGTATTATTTTTAAATTTTGTAATAAATTTTTAAATTTTAATTTATATATTAATAACTATTAAAATTAACTATTTATATTAAAAGTTTTTTTTTAAATTATTCAAACATGAAAAAATGTATATTTATATTAAACTTAATGGTTTTTTTTTCTGGCTATTCATTACTTTTTAAAAATTTAAAGAAATTCATTTTGAAATTATTTATCAATTAAAAAATATTTATGGATTATATTTTTAAATTTTAATATAGTTAATGATCAAATATTTGTGTTTTATTATATTTTTATTATAATTTTTTAATATTTTTTCTGGTATTCATTACTTTTTAAAAATTTAAAGAAATTGATTTTGAAATTATTTATTAATTAAAAAATTATTTATGGATTATGTTTTTTCAATTATAATATAATTAATGATAAAATATCTTTTTTATTATATTTTGATGACTTTAACATTTTTATTCATTTTTCGTATTTTTTTAATCTATGTATTAATTGCTATTAAGTTTTTTTTTGTTAAAAAATAAATTTAACAAAAGTTTTTTAATTTTTTCATTTAACTAAAATAATTTAGTTGATTAACTAGGTTATTTGTTGCGTTTTTTTTTTTATTTTTTCAAAGTTTTTTTTTAATCTTAGTTGTTTTCTGTGGTATTTATCTCACATAATCAAAGTAAATCATTCTTAGTTCAATAATCTTTTCACACAAGTTTGTAACTAGTGTGTGAAAATTGAAAAGAAAAAAGGTTTATAATAAACGTTGATCATTTAGATATTTTTTTGCATTTATTTAAAAAAAAATTATGGAAAACTTAATTAATTTGATTCTTAGTTTTTAATTCATCTCTAGGAATCTATCGAAATTATTTTTAAATCCATAACCTCTTCACAAAAATTTGTAATAATAAGGACGTGAAAACGGTAAAAAACATATGAAGTTTATATAGCATGAGTTATTTTAGGGATGTGCATTATTGTATTAGTCTTAAAACGTCTTCCTTTATGTCTCCCAAAGCACATGCATTAACCCCAAAGCATATGCATTAAGATACATTAGTTACATCTTTTATTTAAACTTATCATTAATAATTTCCCAGGAATGATTCAACAAAAAGTATAATTTTGTTATCACATTAATAATTTAGACAAATAGATTCATTAACTTACATGAATACTTTTTTTTAAGGTTTAATCATTCACGAGATTCTTGTTTCGAGTGGAAATCTCAAATAGGTTTTTTTTCTCTCAATTGGGTCTTTACTTTACCAAAATTATTCCAATTAAAAATTAGACCTATGTCGTTAAATTGGACCAACAACGTTAGTATTACATTCACATGGTATGATGATGGTTTTTAAATGACGTTACACCCAATCAACCAATGGGAGATAGTCACCTTATCAAATCCTGCCACGTCAGCTTAATTTCTTCCACTAGAAACCCTAATTCCCTTTCTCCTTCCTTGTGCCACCATTAATGTCCCTTAGGCCAACAACCACCTCACTTGACCAACTTGTCACCACGAGCTCCACGCCGCCACAATCCACCGTGCCAAAAATCGCAAAATCCACCAACATACAAAAACCTTCATCGCGAGTTCCTCTTCTCAATGGGTGCAACCAGGTTTGTTCCACCACAACCATCTTCTTCGCCTCTCGGCCTACCACCGTGAACGTTGCCGTGAAAACCACCAGCAACCACCATGGTAGCACCACCAACCTCGCCTGAACAAGAAACCTGCAGGAGAACCAATTTCCATAAAACTCCAAATCACCAACACAACTCGTAAATCACCAACACAAATGATAGAGTGGTCAATTTTGATTTCATAGTTGCAATTACACATAAAACAAATATTTGTCTAGCTAACACTACTAGAATTTCATTGATTACCGAAGGATTATTACCGAAGGCCTTGTGGCCGTCGGTA